GGATAAGTTAAAGGGTGGGGTTTGTATAGAGCCTAGGCTCTAAACAATAAAATTAGAGCCTACCTTCAAATAGTGTCGAGAAATATAGTTTCAATACTGAAAATATTTGTAATACACTTAAAATATATTTTCATCTTTATTTATAAAGTTTAAAGCTTAAAAAATAGCGTAGATTGATAGATCTATGAAAACTTGAAAATCTTGAAAATTGACGGTCCAAAAATACATTATAAAATATACTATTTCCAAAACTTGAAATCCATTTTTTTCTCATGTCCATGCATCTTGATGTTGAGATGTTCAATTTGAAGATATTTGGGCATCAAAACAACCTCTTCTAGTGAAATTTTTGAGATAGGCTCAAATTTGATTGTTTAGAGCCTCGGCTCTATATAAACTTTTTCCTAAGTTAAAAGTGGTAAGTGAATGCCCCTACCTTTTGGTGAGAATGGAGTCAAAGACCTCACCATGGGGCTCGCCAAGGCCCCAAGCCATTCTCAACAAAATATTAGCTTGCAATGATAATGTTGCCAACCCAACTAGAGAAAAAGATCAATAAAACCTGTGTCAAAAAAGTCGGCGAGCCAACTTGGACTCACCTGAGGATTCTCTACCTTGGGGAGTCTGAGTATCCTTGAGTTGGGTGGTGCAACTCGGGGATCTTAAAAAAATAAAATAAAAATTCTATTTTTAATATTTTGTTTATGTTTTCTATCATTTTGGCAAAGATTTGGAAAGTTCATTGGCCATGAATACGTATTTTCTTATTTTTGTTCTTTTTGGATTATTTCTAAAATACCTCTTTCCCAAATTGATTTTTTCAGAATCCTTTTTGTCAGTATTTTTTTTAACCTCATTTAGATCTGTTTTGTTGAATTTTATTTTAAAGATATTATATATTTTTTTGAGATTTTTTTGTATTTTTATTTTATTTTTTTAACGCTCCTCATTTGGGCCGGGATTGGACTGGCTCGAGCCGTGTAACTCGGACTCCGCACACATTACTAGGCTCGGCCATGGGCCTATCTCTGAGTCATGGTTTTAGTGGTAGAAACAGCCTATCCATCTAGTATCAACATTAAAGTAAGATAAAATAATATAGCATAACAAAGGAGATCCCCATCTAAGGAAACAAACGACACACCTTTTAACTCAGAAAATCATTCTCACGCCCATCTTAATGAAAAAGCTGCAAAATGAGGGGGAAGGGTAATGCTTTCATGTGTAGGTTAGCTTATTATGAACCTTGGACCGTATGAACCCAACTGCTCTTGCCACCAAGAACTCAAAGCCTGGCTTACAGACTCTGTAAGCTCATAGAAATGACTTTCCCAATCCTTGATATATACAAGTGTTGAGAATATTTCTTACCACCAAGTGAGTCAGTTAAGTCCGAGTTTGGGTGATCAGGTAAATTTATCTGTATGTTAATTTGGAAACAAGTGTAAAACAATTGTTTTATTTAATAGGCTTCTGAGCATTTCGCGACGTTGTTCCAAACGACGGGAGAGACAAACAGACGTAGTTGAAGTGTCCAAACACTCCCGAAAACTATTATCTAATGGACGAGGAAGACAATTCTATGGTTCATGTTTAATTGGTCTGTTTAAATGAGGCCTTAAAAACATAATACAAGTGAGAGACAGATTGTTCATCGATACTTACACTTATTCGGATCTCAGTTCGGGGCTTCGTATTGCTAGTTGGGGTGTGTGGCTTATCGTCGGCAAAGACCCACATTCTATAGACTCCACCGCAAAAGCTAAAGCGTTGCTCCGCTGCTACATCGTAAGGTCTCTGGACATCCAAATTCTGACTTTGTAGAGGAAGTTCAGTGAAGCCATAAGTGGAATTAGCAGATTGCACTGCACTAACCGCAACTCTTACAGAAGACATCATAGAAAGAAAAGCTGAAACTAACTTAAACAACCCCACCTTCCCTATACTCAATGGCAGCTTTGCCATGTTTAGGGATATCGTATTCTCCACTTTGTTTGGGTTAATCTTATACATATATAAGGGAAATGGCATTCTTCACTTCGGATGGGTTAATCTTATATATCATCATCATCATCGTCAATATGATCTTCATGTTATATGTTTTTTGGCATGTCTGATCATTAGATAGAGACATCCATCGCGTGAAAATTGTTTAGAGGCTGTTTGGTTCTTTTGGGGTAGGTTGATTTCTCGAGGTACTTAATCTAATAAGTTTTATTAACCTTCTTTATTAGTTTAGTAGGAGAAAATATAATCCTCAGTAATAAAATGAAGGTAAAAATTGAAGTAACCTGAACTGGGGCAAAGTTTAGCGATTTCAAATTTCAAATCAATAAACTATGGAGTTTATTGCTTTGGTACTAAAAAATTTTAATCAGAATTTGGTGGATTCTGAAAACTTAGGCCACAAACTGTCAATTGCCAGATTTAAAAAAC